GGGAAAGAGCGGGAAGCTAAAAGGAACCTAATCCAAGGGCCCACATTCATCTGGTTTGAAAAAAGGGCTATGTCAGCGTGGTAGTTGGACCGACGCGACGTTTGCACTTCTCAAGGTAACAGGGTCATCATGACAACAGGTTCGGAGTTGGGTTTCTGTGCCCGAAGCAGACGAAAAGAAGCGCCAGTGCAAAGTCCCAACCTAGCTCGAGGCAGTCCAAAGGAAAGCCTCGACCTGGGGGGCAGATGTTGTGCGGGAAAATATGCTTTGACACGTCAGACAAAAACATCGCTCCACATGGCCATGCAATAACCACGTCAGCCAAACCGTCGACTCGTCATACCGCTGACCTAATAAGACCTCAGCATTTACCCAACTTACCCACATCAGGGGTCTCGTTAAGGTCGACCGTGTAAAGGGCGACGCCTAGCCCAATTCTCATCTGGGCTCATGAAGCTGACCGTATATACAGAAGGCCAGCTGGAAGCCGACTGTATAAACGTGGGACCCCCTGAGAAAACGTGTGTGCTTGGAAGAAGTCTGTAATACATGCATTAATTACAAGTACTTACACCATCCACAACTGGACGGTGGAGGGTTACATGGAGTGTAGAGCCGTGATGGAGGACTAATTAGATGAATGAACAGTCCAAAAAGTGATTAGCTGGCTATGGGTCTAGGCCCATAGGATGGCAGGCACTCGAGTGGAGGTCTACAGAGGAAAACAGCCCTTGAAGTAAACTGGGGCTATAAAAGAGGGGCAAAGCCCCAAGCTCGAGAGGTTATTCTTTTCTTTGACACGTGTAATTGGAGAACAGAAAATACATACAACAAAACAGTGGATGTAGCTCTTGATTAACAGAGTGAACCACTATAAACCCTGTGTGTCTTCACATTTGAGTATCGCTTTTCGTGTTATTCTCCACCGCAAAAGTACAACACACACTTCACAGTATCAATTACACTTCCACAATCAAATTTTGGCCAGTAACCTCACGGGATACTAGGAGGTAACCCGGCGTAACCCAGTTGACAAAATTTGACCGTCAACAAAACTCAAAGAAAAATAGTGTCTACCGGACTCCACAAAAAGAAATTACTCAAAGAGGTACACAAAAAATCGAGCACATGCACTACTCTTTGATAGATCCTCTATAATCAATGGAAACAATCCGACCAACCGATACAGAGAAACTCATAGCATGAAGACTAGACAAAAAACACAAAGAAACATATCTTACTGATGAAAGAAAAAAAGCTAGACTAATCAGGGTAAGAACCACCACTGTCATTACTAACGAAAAAAGAAAAAAATCCACAAATTATAACATCAAAACACCAAAGAGAGCAAGGCCCTTGAACACCAGCATAACAAAACAGTAGAAAAGACGAATGGTTGGTAAACACACGTAGACAATTGCCAACGTGTCCATTAGAAGACGACACAACTTCTCTCGCAAACCACAATATCTACAAGGTAGGTTAAGACGAAGACCAACGCGTTCAAAAACGCTAATTTAGATTCGATCCAACAATCGTCCTTCTCCATATATGACATGAACCCCACTCTAAACTGAGCATTTGATTACGAATTTACACATAAACTTTAGTGGTCAGAAGTGCAATGATGCACCGAGGTTTTAGCCCTGAGAACTCCTCTCTCTTTTTTCCCTTCCCCCTCTGTGTTTTTGCTAGGCCGGCTACTTGAGAGTGATTCTCTTTTTACTACTTTGAATCACTTCTTACTAATAAGAAGACGTGCAAAAAGGAAAACTCAGTGTGAGAACTATGTGGTGCTGTATTAATGCGGTAACTTTAGATGTTAAATTATGGAAAAACAATACGTTAAAAAAATTATTGACTGACTCTAATCATTTTTTTTTTAAAGAAAATTTTAGGGTAGGACTTGAAAAAATAATTTCCAGTACGTCTCTCTTTTCTAGCGATTAAATAGTATTAGAAATTATATATTATGCATTTTTTTAGGAGCTTCTTTGGTATGATTAAATAAATAAGTTATTGATAATTATTTATTTTCAGTGTTAGATATGTATTAAAAATTATTTATTTTACATATTTTTTTTTAACTTAATGTGATTTTAACATGAATCAGTGTAAAAAATAAGAACTATTAGTAAGTCAGACTTACTCAAGAAATTCCTTAATTAGATTTAACGGTTAGAAAACAAACACTTCTGTAGGAGTTCTTGATGTAAAATGACCCATCCTTTTATCATCTAAAGATACAGTCCAAAAACATGAATATGTGCCGTAGCTTTCTCCAAAACTCAAACCAAATTAAAACTATTTTTTTGTTTTTGTTGCTATAGAAATCAAAGCTAGTTTAGGCCTTTAATAAATGCACGATTTAATTTCACCAGAAATTCTTTTACAAAGGAATATGTGACTCTCAGTTTATTATTACAGTACGATCATCATCAATCACCGACCCAAAACATCGTACGTACATCGCTCATTATAAAGACGACTCATTAAGACACCCTTTAATATAAATATCCCAAGAATAAGACCTAGTAGTCAAAATAGAAAATCGGTGGAGCACTAAATCATAAATCCAATAATTGTTATAGTAATGTGATGGTATTTTGGACCCTCTTAGGGACCCCCTGGCAATAATGCTGCCAAGACCACTTTAATGTTCATTCTTGGTACTAAAATTTCATTGTTGGGTTTCACTTGTAATTTCATATATATATGTATATATATATATTCCCAAATTCATAGAACAAAATTATAAACAATTTCTTTATAACCCAATTTTTAATTCTGAAAACAATTCCCCTGCAGCAGCCTTAACAAAGAATTATTAATCCACAATTTTTTTAACCTACACCATACTGCCAGTTATATGATAACAAATGTACAAATATAAATTATGTAGAAACAGAGCAGAAGAGTATGTAAAGTCAATCTAAGAAATGAGTTTCTTCATGTCATCTAGCAAGAGATTAGATGCCCACACACTAGCCTGCCTCTCTGTTTCTTCAATGCGAGCACAAAAGAAACTGTTTTTTGCCAGCATCTAATCATTTCCCAGTTTAAAATTACAATTTATTCTGAGCATATTGGTAAGAAGTATGGTTCTCTGAGCTGTTCAAGTTTTGTGTATGTGTATATATATGTGTATCTCAACACTTTTTTTTTATTTTTTATTTTAATATATATACTTTTATTATTATATTACATCACAATATCACATGGGCTCTGTACCATAATAAATCCCAGTTACGAGTCACCCTTTTAGTTTTCTCTCTCTTACTCTCTCTTTCAATAGAGCAAGGAAGAGAAATGTGGGATCACTGTGAAGAAAAAACATGAGAAGTGGTGCAAGTCTTTTTGTTCTTCTTATTCTTCTTGTTGTTCTTGCTCAATCACTTGGGTTGAACACAGACGGAGTCTTGTTGCTTTCTTTCAAGTACTCTGTTCTGAGAGACCCGCTTTTGGTCTTGGAGAACTGGAACTACAACGACCAAACGCCATGCTCATGGAAAGGAGTCTTCTGCGACAGCATTGAGGGCCGTCGTTTTTCTACTGTTGTGGGGTTGTCTCTTCCGAACTCTCAGCTCCTGGGCTCGATCCCGCCCGATCTGGGTGCGATCGAGCACCTTCAACGACTCGACTTGTCGAACAACTCTCTCAACGGGTCGCTTCCGGTTTCGCTCTTCAACAACTCGGCAATTCGCCACCTCGACTTGTCGAGCAACGTGATTTCCGGCGAACTGCCGGAGGTTATCCCAGTTACTTCAAATCTTCAGTCTCTTAACCTCTCCGACAATGCCTTGGCGGGAAAGATACCGGCTAATTTAGGATCTTTGTCGAATCTAAGTTCGCTTTCTCTCAAGAACAATTACTTCTCCGGAGTTTTACCTAGTGGGTTCCGAACGGTGGAGATTCTAGATCTGTCGTCGAATCTCATCAACGGCTCGCTCCGCTCCGATTTCGGCGGCGACAGCCTCGGCTACTTCAACGCCTCATACAACAGGCTCTCCGGCACTATACCGCCGGAGTTCGGGGAGAAGATTCCGGCGGACGCCGTCGTTGACCTCTCGTTCAATGCCCTCGGCGGTCCGGTACCGGAGTCTCCGGTTTTTAAGAGCCAAAAACCGGCGTCGTTTAACGGGAATCCTGATCTCTGTGGTGAACCGACGGGAAAGCCGTGCCCGATAATTACTTCCTCTTCGTCTTCTCCTTCGCCAACTTCTCCTCCGGCGATTGCGGCGATTCCGAGGACGATAAACTCGGACCCGGTGAGTATAACGCCGAGATCGGCTTCAGAGCCCGGAGAGGAAAACCAAAGCGGGCTTAAACCGGCGACGATAGTGGGAATTGTAGCTGGCGACATTGTAGGAGTCGGAATTCTTGCCATGATTTTCTTGTATATATACAGATTAAAGAAGAGGAAGAACAAGAAGAAGATCGAGACAACATTGAAGAACGAAGCGAATACGGCGAAGTTGGACGACTGGTCGTCGTCGTCTTCGTCGGAGTCTAGAGGGTTCACGAGGTGGTCGTGTCTGAGAAAGAAAGCTGAGGATGAACAAAGTTCGTCGTCAGACGACACTGCAGCGTCCGAAAACGACGACGAAGTTGGTGATCAAAAGGGCGGCGGTGGTCAACAGAATCAACGGCGGCGAGAGCCGCATCAAGGAAAGGGTGGGACATTAGTGACCATCGATGGGGGGAAGGAGTTGGAGCTCGAGACGCTTCTAAAAGCTTCGGCGTATATTTTGGGAGCCACGGGGTCGAGCATAATGTACAAGGCGGTGCTTGAGGATGGGACCACGCTTGCGGTTCGGAGGATCGGTGAGAACAGCCTGGACCGGTTCAAGGACTTCGAGAACCAGGTCCGGGTCGTGGCCAAGCTGGTCCACCCAAACCTGGTTCGGGTTCTTGGGTTCTATTGGGGGGCTGATGAGAAGCTCATAATCTACGACTTTGTCCCCAATGGCAGCCTCGCCAATGCCCGTTACAGTAAGTTCCCTTTCCTTGCCTCTTTTTTTCGCCTTCTTGATTGATGCGCATTTTAGCATGTTAGTGCGGTCTTTGCTAACGTGCGCTGGGAACTCTTTTGGGGGGGTTAGTTTTTTTTAATTTTTCTTGGTTGGCGGTGGAGTAGGTGTAACTGCTTGAGTGGTGATGTGTGTGAATCTATTGCATGGTGATTGGGGAAGTCAACCGTGTGTGAGCGGTAAATGATTGTGGGGCGAGTTTATAAACTTTTAGGCATTTGGTTTGGACCAATTGGGTCTCAAAGTCTTGATGTGGATACACGTACTAGCCGTGGAAAAACATAGCACAACATGATTATTTATCAATGTCTTGTTTTGTTGGGGGTCGTTTTCATTGCCCATGAGAGAGTAGATGATATATATATATATATATATATGTGTGTGTTTTTTTTTTTTTTTTTTTTTTTTTTTTTTTTTTTCTTTTTTGGTGGTGTAGATAGATAGACTGACGTCTAACACTATTTTTTTTTTTTTTTATGCCCGGATGAAAACTGACATTTTTGTTAGAAGGAAGTATTTTGAAAGTATTCTTATTGTTTCCTATGCAGAGAAAGTGGGCTCTTCTCCTTGTCATCTACCGTGGGATTCGCGGCTCAAGATAGCGAAAGGGGTTGCTCGTGGGCTGGCCTACCTTCATGAGAAGAAGCACGTGCATGGGAATTTGAAGCCCAGCAATATTCTCTTGGGCTCGGATATGGAGCCCAAAGTCGGGGATTTCGGACTCGAGAGGCTTGTAACGGGCGAATCGAGTTACAAAGCTTGGGGCTCGGCCCGGAATTTCGGGAGCAAGAGGTCCACGGCTTCGAGAGATAGTTTTCCTGACTTTGCCCCCGGGCCAAGCCCAAGTCCGAGCCCAAGCGCTTTCGGCATTTCTCCATACCATGCCCCGGAATCACTTAGGAGCCTAAAGCCCAACCCAAAGTGGGATGTGTTCTCCTTTGGGGTAATATTGCTTGAGCTACTAACGGGGAAGGTTGTGGTTCTAGATGAATCGGGTCAAGGACCCGGCATTATGGTAGATGATAAGAACCGGGCTTTACGGATGGCTGATGTGGCGATTCGAGCTGACTTGGAGGGCAAAGAGGAGGCCTTGTTGGCTTGCTTCAAGGTGGGGTACAATTGCGCATCACCGGTTGCACAAAAGAGGCCCTCAATGAAAGATGTGCTACAAGTGCTTGAGAAATTTCCTTCTTCATCTTCCTCTTCATACTATTATTAGGATCATTTATTGATGATACTTTTGGACCCTTTTGTAGAGAGATGTATGTATGATTGACTAATAGGTCTATTTGTCCCAATTTTATTTTATTTTCTCTTTTTTTTTTTTTGTTTCAGTTGTGCGAGATCAATGAGTTAGACCATATTGTGTGACATCAGTTGTGCGAGATCAATGAGTTCGACCATGTTGTGTGACACTAATTTGTATTTCCTAATTTATGACTCACTTCCTACCCTACACTAATTTGTTTCATTTTTTTAATTTTTCCTTTTTTATAGCCACCTTTTTTTCCTTCTCTCTTTCGTATCCTAGTTGTTGTTGTTTCTTTTTTTAATAATTACTATTTTAATTTCCTTCTAATCCACTTGAATGAAATAATATATTCATAGGACTTTGCAATCGTCTACTAACATGGAAAAGTCAAAATTCCACAGTAATAATTTTGACATCGTTCATTTCGCGGATTTAAGTTTTCAATTTGAGTTGAGATGTGATATTTTCTAAGAGCTTTTCACTGTAGCAGAAAAAGTTAAATGTGACATTTTTTAAGAGCTTTTTACTGTAGAAACTTAAAACTCAAAATTCGAATCAGTAAAATGAATGAGGCCTTTATTGTTAGTAACGTTGGTCGAGTTTTTTTTTTCTTATTTTTTTGGGTCAAATACGTACTGATTGGAATAGAATAGATATGCCCGATATTATGTGTTTAATAAGCTATATGTACAATACATGTGTTTCTTTATTCATGAGACGAGAGAAAAGTTTACGATAGACATAGTTTGAGATCATAATATATAATTTTTAAAAGAAATATGTTTCGAGTTAACCGAAATTCTATCAAGTTCCACCTAAACAAAAAATAAAAAATAAAAAAAAATCCATCAAATCCGAATCACCCCAAAGTTTATTCGCTTTACTACTGAACCATAATGCCTTATTTTCAAACAAAGAGCTCCTCAACTAAAAAAGTCAATAGACCAAAATAAAAAAATAAGTTAATGGAGCAGGATTCTATAACATAAAAATTATACTGTAAAGCAAATCTATGAGAGTGCAATTGAAATACGACATTAGTTTTGAAATATTTTAAGAATAGCAAAATTACATAGTAATTATCATAAGAAAAAGCTATGCGATGACCGGTTTTAACCCACCCTTTTTAATTAATGGTTGAGCCTTGTTTTTAGATAAATGGTTGAATTGCTTTTAGGTAAATGACCATATAGTAGTTAATCAATAATGTACGGTTGTTTACTGATTGATATTAATTAATTGTGATAAACCACAAATCGGTGTGCATCACTGATTAACTGTTTCTAAAAAAAATTTTATCATTTTCCTACAACAAAACTTGGATCGTTTAGTTAAACGTTGAATAAATAGCAAACTGTAAATATTTATTTACCTAATATAAATACAATATTTACCCGATATTTACCAATAAATATTTATTTACCCTACGTAAATACAATATTTGTTTATAAATATACTATTTATTTTAATTATTTAAAAATATACTATTTATTTTAACCATTTAAAAAATATACATTTACTTAAGAACCGTTTAAAAATATGTCATTAAATTGTAATTTTTATTTCCACCCATAAATCTATTATTTACATGGTAAATTTTCTTTGTACGACTGGTTTTACGTGATAAAGAAATTTTTTACTACGTAAATTTTTATTTCACTGTTATTTAAATTAAATAGTTTTAAAATATACTATTTACTTTAATTATGAAATAATATGAAATTTTGCCATGTAATTATCACAATAAGTTTTCCTTAAAAAAAAAAAAAAAAAAAAAACAATCTTGGCCTTCTTTTGTACAGACATAAAACCCCAGAGATAATCATGTCTACGAAACATGGGCCCAGGTATTGTCCGCAAACCGTGTTTAGGTCCATATCAATTTTGAACGACAAAAATCCCGCTCCTTTCTTCTTTTTAAATTCACTCCTCTCTCTCTAGACATCAAATAGGCGTTACAAAAGAATCAAAACACCTTCTTTCTCTCTCTAGAAAACAGAGCCATTAGGAGAAGAGAGTTCTCAGACTCAGAGAGAAGAAAACCAGCCGGAAATGGCGACGAACATTGGCATGATGGACGGGGCGTACTTCGTCGGAAGATCGGAGATCTTGGCCTGGATCAACTCCACTCTCCATCTTAACCTCTCGAAAGTCGAAGATGTTCGCTTTCTCTGATTCCTTAGCCCTAACTTCATCTCTGCTCTCTATGATTTTTCCCTAAATTCATGAGGTTTTTCGTTTGTTTGGATCTGTGTTTGTTGTGATAGGCGTGTTCCGGTGCGGTTCACTGTCAGCTGATGGACGCGGCGCATCCAGGGATGGTGCCGATGCACAAGGTCAACTTCGACGCGAAGAGCGAGTACGAGATGATCCAGAATTACAAGGTCCTTCAAGATGTCTTCAACAAACTCAAGATCACCAAGGTTTTCTTCTCGCTCTTTCCTTTTATCTTTTCTCTCTGTTTTCATATTTTGATTTCGCAAAATTTAAGATCTGGAGTCCTATTTTTTCCTTGTTGTTTGGTCCAAGATTGGTCCCCTTTTTGTCCTTTTTTGTTATCAGAATTTAGTAATTTGTTGTTTTTTTAAAATAAATTCTTGTTGATTTTAGCATATTGAGGTGAACAAGCTCATAAAAGGAAGGCCGCTTGATAATTTGGAGTTCATGCAATGGATGAAGCGGTACTGCGACTCCGTAAACGGAGGAGCTACTAACAGGTAATCAGTTTGACCATATTCTGTTTGGCTAGGGTTTGTGGAAATGTATGATGCTCCGTTTTAATCTGGCTAAACTGATATTGTAAGGTCAAATTTCAGAATTGAGTGAACTCATTCAAGCATTTGTTTGTTTAAAATATGTGTCAAGTTTAACTTTCGGATTTGCTAATGTGAAAATCTTTGGCAATTTTTGAAAAGCAATTAACTTATTCAAGCATTTGTTTGTCTAAAATATGTGTCAAGTTTAACTTTTGGATTTGCTAATGTGAAAATCTTTGGCAATTTTTGTTGATGAATTCGAAATAATGGTCTTGTACAGATAAATAAATGAAAAGCAATTACCTGTGATATACCAAGACTTATATATGTTGTTTTGTGGTGGCTCTATATAGTTCATTTATTCAATTAATTGTTTGTTTCAAAATCGACTCTAGTTTAATTTTCTGAGTTGCTAATGTGAAAAACTTTGGCAATTTCAACAAATAGGATGATGAATTGGAGATGATAAATGAAAAGCAATTACTTGTGATATACCTAGACTCACATATGTTGGTTTATTGTGGTTCCTGTTAGTTACAATCCCTTGGAGAGGAGAGAAGCTTGCAAGGGAGGGAAAGAAGCGACCAAGAAAGCTGTGCAATCACAGTCATCTTCGAAGGGAACAACTGCTGCCTCAAAAGCTCAATCCAACCATAATTCTCGAAGAAACGACACAAATGCTGCTGTGAACAACGTGAATCAATCAGGAAAGTCCTCACGGCCATCTTCAAGTGGAGGCCCAGCATATGATGAACAGGTAAATTTTAAATAGCGCATCGCTTAGAACTTTTGCATTAGAAGTTATGAATTTGGTCTGTGTTGGTACCGGTTTGAGTCTTTTAATACTTTGTAAGACAATATAAATAATGCAGAAACGTAAAATAAAAGAACACGAAAGAAATGATATCGCAGTTCGGTCACAACCTACTCTGTGGGGCCACGCCAAGATAATGAATAATTCACTAAGAACTCTTTTACAATTCAATTGGATTTAATCTATCCGAGACTCTCTTTCTAAGAAGACGCTTATGAACTTGCAATTTTCCAATAGACTTAAACAATGAAATTCCCTCGACTTTTTAACATTGGAATCCATCCAACTAAGTTTTTTTCTCCCTAAAACACTCAAATCATCTCTCTAAATACAAGTGCACACACCTATCTCACAACTCAGAAAAACTAATCAAAAAGTGTACAAAGACTCGAGACTCTTTGAATAAATAAGCAAAATGTGAACAGCTTGACGACCTCTTTAATTAATTTACTAAACTAAATCTGTTGCAGATCCTTGTTGCAATAATAACTGCAACATAGCTGTCAGAGTCAGCTCACGCAAAACTAGTATGAGAATCAATCTTCTTAAATCATAAAATCTTTTTGAAATTGATATACGAATTTGGACACATTCCTAGGAGACAGAGGAAGATCATCCAGCTACGAAAACTCAATCAAATTATCAATTTACCATCTTTGGATCAATAGTAGACTTTCAAAAACAGAAACTATATTCAGTTTCTAGATATGCAATAACTTTTCATTTCTCACAAATCTTCTAGGATATTTCCTTCTATTAAATCCCCAATCTTTTAGGATATTTTTTTTTTAAAATTGATTTCTATCAAGAAAAGAACATTTTATATTTGAAGCAATCAAGCAACTAAAAACACATCCGATCTTCTCCATAAACGCCAGTTGCCAAACATACATATTTTTGAATTTTTATAACCAATGTCAACAAATTGCCAACTAAAGTCCTAACAGTCTGACAAATATCTTGATTCAGATCACAGAATTGAAACTGTCAGTTGATAGCCTTGAGAAGGAGAGGGACTTCTACTTTGCCAAGTTGCGGGATATTGAGATACTGTGTCAGAGCCCTGAAATAGAACATCTAGCGGTACTGTCTTTTGTATCCGTTTCTTTTGTTTTTGTTTATGTGAACAAGATATAATTTACTAATGCGTGGAACTTGGAAGAGCCTATTGATGATTGCTATTGAATTGAATTAATAGGTTGTTGGGGCTATCCAGAAGATTCTGTATGCTACAGACGACGACGCCTCCGTGGCGGCTGAAGCTGAAGCCATGGTGTCTCAAGAGGCTAAAGAAGTAGATATCTTGAGCCCCATTCTGGAGGTTTCAGAGGAAAGAACGAGCTCAGAGACCCAGAAGAGGAAATGCATTGTCAACCATGACTTTGATACTGCTGGCGTCACCACTTTGTCTCCGAGGCAAAGGGTTTCTGATGCTTCCGATGTTCATTGCAGTGGGTCACCCCTTATGACTTACTGATCACCTAAGCTGTAGAGAATAGTACATTCTCAGTTCTATTTTGGAAAACTCATTTTATTGAACATTTGGGGGCAATATATATGACTTACTGATCACCTAAGCTGTAGAGAATAGTACATTCTCAGTTCTATTTTGGAAAACTCATTTTATTGAACATTTGGGGGGCAATATATCCATCTTCAGTCGTGTTTTACATATCTGATTTAGTCCAACGAGTTTATGTAGGGAGGAATTGGAATTTATACAATACAGAGAGTTGTTTGAGAGCAGCTCTAGCTTGTAGTGTTGTCTTCTTTGGAAGGTGTAACAATGGTTTTTTGATCTTGCATGTTCTCTAATATTTTTGTCCTTGAACCAGCGATGGAACAACTTTTTGCATTTTCTGTTTCTTCGAATTCAGAACCAAAAATGGAGCAAGCTTTAGTTAAAAAGGACGAAGCATATACTGATGGCTCATTTGGTTCATTTTATGGAGGGAAACACTTTCGCAAAAAGGTTTGAATTGTGGTTCAAACCGGTAAACTAAACAAGGGCTTTGTGTATATATGTTCTCTTTCTTACTTGATTCAATTTCTAGACGTGCACCTTGCCTTGCACGATTTATGATTGGATTAATTTTCTCATTGTTGCTTCACGGAGTCTTTTGGCTAGAAACAAAAGGAGAAAATTTGTTATTTTTTCACGTAGTTGCGGAATAGAAAACTGCGATATTGTTGCATGGTCTTTGTCTTGTTGTCAGAGAAATAAAATAAAAATTATGGGAGAAACCGTTAGAAGAATATGTAAGATAATATGCTGAAATGCCCTGCTTATCCGGCTAAATAATAGGTCATTCAAGACCAGGTAAATCAAAAACCTATTTAGAATATATAAATCCTTCATTAACCCCAAAAGAGGCAAGAGGCTCAGTTCTTAGATAATCAACATCACCTCCAACATGGATGCACAACCAAGCCTGGTAATAAAAAATAATAATAATAAATTCTCTCACTTTCTTTTATGCTATTTCTGTAACTTTCTAATCTCAAATTTATATTTCATCAACTCTAAATAATATTTTTTTAATGCAAATTTTGTCATCAGAAGACCGAGATTGAGAACGAACAAGGTGAAGTGGAGACAAAGGTGAACACTGTAGATTATCAGTCCTCAGCAGGACAAGGCCAACAAAAGAGGGATGTGCAGGTGATTCACAAATCCCACCCTTCCGAAAATTCAACCACTACCGGCGGCGGTAGCGTCCTCTCTAGCGCTGCTACTGCTGCTTCCGCGGCCGTTCAGTCCTCCAAGGATGCCCTATCTGGAAAATAACTGAGCAGTTGCTCCAAGATAGCTATTTACATTTCGTATCATTTGTCTTGAGTTTTCTATTCACCCCTAATATATTCAAGGACAATGTTACAAGTATTCTTTTGAGTTTTGGATTTGTATTTTGTTGACATTGTGTTGCATTTTTTTTTCTTCTATCGCTTTGATATTGTTTTTCGCCAACAATTTGGTAATCAATTCCGTATATACTTATTTCTGTATCTAATAAGAATTTCTTATCTGGAAAGTTGCTAACGATATTTGCACAATCAGCAAACACAATACACGTATATATAATGGATCAATGTTATGCTTCAGTCAAACAGTTTAAGATGTAATATTGGAAATCAATTTAGCACAACAAAGTAAAATATCTGTAGGAAGTATCTTTTACGACATCACAGATAATCGGAGACAACTGAGAACAATATCCTTTTCTTTTCCTCCGCACACGAATTGGCTTCACCTTTACTCTTTCTTCAACCCCACTTGCAAAATGAATCGGGCCTCTGTGATCCAGCCAGTCATAGCTTCAAACTTCTCTTCATAAAAATGACAGCCACCCAAAGTATAAAAAAAAAAAAAAAAAAAAAAAAAAGTAGCCTGTTTTTTTATTGGGAGATTTTCTGGTACACTTGTGTATCGCTAGTCAAGTTTTTCTAACTGTTAAATCTGCGTACTTTTTGATTTTTATGTGATTTTATGTACATCTAACAATTAAAAAACTTAACCTACCGGTATGTTGGCGTACCAAAAAAGGTCTATTTTTTTTTATTATTGATTTTTTATGTAAAAAAGAGATCATACAAATACAGATTGACGTATTCAAATAATTCCTAGTAGCTAATTTATCCTAAAAAAATGTTAGCGTTACTTTTACTGTTATTTTTTGTCACTTTCTGTATTTATTGTTTGACGCGTGAACTGTATTATCATGATATATTATTATTTAAATAAAAAATGAGATAATAAACAAAAAGAATAATAGAAAAATAGACGTTAACATTTCTCTTTATCCTATGACATGTCATTACCTCGTGAAGTGCATTACCTGCTCATCATGGTGGGATTAACTCGAATCAAAAACCTTGTAGGCTTACCATACCACCAAAGATGCTAGTTGCCCTTTATTCTTCTCCAACTCTTAATCCGAATCCTATTCTCATGCCCTTTATGCCCTGAGCCATTTTCTTAGTTCGATACTCATTATAAGATACATAGCACAAAAACTCACTATTGCTTCCCTCTGTCCTTTCAAGACATCACTTGTTTTTCCTCGATTCAATCCTTCATTTGGGTAAATAAACTCCTTTTTTTTTTCTCTTTCTTTGTATGATGTTATGTAGTTTTTGTAATTTGTTTTTCTGACTCGGCTGTGTTTTTTTTTTTTTAACTAGTTGCAAAGATGGGTTTGTCAATTTCTCGGCTCATGAGGCTTTTCTTTTCCAAGAAAGAAATGAGAATTCTGATGGTGGGGCTTGATGCAGCTGGAAAAACAACAATCTTATACAAGCTTAAACTTGGAGAGGTTGTTACTACCATACCCACCATAGGTAACTACTTCTCTAGTTGATCAGACTTGGTTTGTTTTTAGTACTGTTTATAAGGTTATTTCTTGAATTGGTTTGATATAGTCAAATAACAATGTTAAATAAGGATAAGAATAGATTGAATGGTTTATTTTAATTCATTGTTTGGTTGAACATTGAAATTAGTATTAGATTCAAATTGTTGTATCTTGTTAGTCATTAGAATGGAAAGAAATTACAAATAACAGTGTCGGCTCAACTATAAAACAGCTTAGGCAATTGCTTAAGGTCATTGGTTAAGCCAAGGCCCACAAATTATAATTGAGAAGGCCTTTTTTCAAATAAATAAATAAATAAAAATCTAATCAAAAGGTCTCTTTCTTATTTTGAAACTTACATAGAAAAAATGAATTTATACTTACTATATTTCAACTAGAAATTACAAATAAAATCACAATAAATTCAAATTTCATAATAATGGATGTGTGATTCATAGGAAATCATAATTTAGAAATGTCATTAATAATAAAAATATAACCAATTGAAGGATCTTTTAGACATTGTATTTTGTTTGCACAATTTATCAAGCTATTTCTTCACTTAGAAGTAGATTTAAGCAATTTCAAGTGCGTGAAAATATTTTTAAACTACTATTCAACTTTGAGAAATTAAAGTAATTAGATTGAAATGGAATGAACAAAAAAAAAAATTGTTTGCATCTTAGAAGACGTTCTAAATTATGTGAACTCATATTTTCTACTATGAATTAAGTGTTAAGAGAGCTTTTTTCAAACAAACAAAAAAACAATAACCCAATTAAAGGATTCCATTTTAAATGCGTGTGTTAACTTTTTTTTTTTTTTGTGAATTGTTAATTCTGCAAAAAGGTGTTTCTCCTCTTAAAAAATACTCACTTTAATATTTTCTAATTTCTAACTAAATTTTAACTGATTTTAAAAAAAAAAAATTGAAAAAAGTCCCTTGAAACTTTTTTTGTTTAAGGCCCAAAATTACTTGAGCCGGCGTTGACAAATAAAGTATAAGAACATTAGAAGGGTAATTCTGTGAAAGAGAATTTTAATTAATGTCAATTTTAGAATGTAATGATTCAGGTCCACTTTAGGAATACAAATTCAAGCATTCCGGTGGAATATAGAAATAGCTATTTTTAAGTCTTTCTTCTTACTCAAATATAAGAATTATTCGATTTTAAGAATTTATTCCATTTCAAAATGGTCATTTAATCAAAACCAAACGAACCCTTATGAGAATAATCTAATAATCTACTCTTGTAGTCTTGTATTTGCTAAGGCCTTTCTCTACTTGATTTATCTTTTATACACTGATTTATCTTCCTAAATCCTAACAAGACTAGGAGAAGATTAAATAAATGGTTAGAACAGTTACAAAGAAACGTCACACACTTGAACAATGTTTCAAAGCTAGCTGAAGTTAGTATTTTGTAAGGAGAATTTGAAATAACTAACAAATACAAATCCTTCAAGTTTTTATATGAAAATATTTGCCTGCTTAAACAGGAATGAATTACTTGTTACTAATTCGATTTTAACCGGCCAGGGTTCAATGTCGAAACCGTTGACTACAAAAATGTGAGCTTCACAGTCTGGGATGTTGGAGGACAGGATAAGGTACAATTTTTTTCAATTTCTTTTCTTCCATTGCCCAAAAGATTGACAAGTTTATGCATGGTTGTGCATTTGGGCATGCAAAAGTGCTCTTCTTTGTGCTTTGTGAAAGAACAAAGCATCATTTTTTGTTGGGAGCCAAGAAGTGCTTATTTTTCCTGTGTTGCGTCCATTTTTCGATGCAGATTCGACCATTATGGAGACATTACTTCCAGAACACGCAAGGTCTAATCTTTGTCGTGGATAGCAACGACAGGGAAAGGATTTCGGAAGCCAAAGATGAGCTCCATAGAATGCTTAACGAGGTCGACATGACTTGATATCTTTCTACGACCTTTCCTTAAGTAAGTACATTTGCAGGGAAAAAAAAAAAAACTGTTGTATTAAAGTGCATGGATTGGATTTCTTTGTGCAGGATGAACTGCGCAACGCGACATTGCTCGTCTTTGCCAACAAGCAAGATCTTCCAAACGCCATGAGTGTCTCTGAAATCACTGATAAACTTGGCCTGCACTCACTACGCCAACGTCGCTGGTAAAAACATGCATTTGTAACATGTAAAATCACGTGCATATTACGTATATATATAACTTCAAAGAGCCGTGTCATTCTCCCAAACTTTAGTCTTAAAGACTCAATTCCAAGTACACTAAAAAGAGGAAAATAATAATAATAATAATGATACAAAAATTTCAGTCTTATGACACCTCTTTCAACAAATTTCAATTAAATAGTTGAATGATATCGGTGATTGCCCACCGAGTCAATTAATCAATCACAAATTGACCTTTTTTTTTTTTTTTTTTAAGAAAAGGTCCATTTTCTTAGCTAATTTAATGAAATTTGGAACGTTTAGAATTATTAAAAAATGTTTATTAAATTGAAAAAGGAGTCATTGTTTACATTGTTAGTTGTCTTGTCATTATTGTGAATTGTGCAGGTACATTCAAGCCACTTGTGCCACCGGTGGCCAAGGACTCTATGAAGGTCTTGATTGGCTATCTAGCAACATCTCTACCAAGGTACGACGTGTCCCCTAACTTATTATTTTCACCTTATCAAATCTACTTGTTTTAATATCTTGTATCTAAATATTTGCTCTTTTTCTTTTTGATACAGGCATAGACAGATTAATCAGCCTTCAAAGCTTTGGGCCCTCCTTTTCTTCTGCCATCTCTTGATCAACCAAGAGAATAGTTTCACTATATATATATATATATAGACACACACACACAAAACTATCAATATCATTATGTAATTTACTATCACTATATTGTAATCAATTACCATACATTACACTTTAAAATCTTGAGGCAATAACTTACTATTGTAGCTAAGATAACTGGATATTCTTGTCTTATTCTGAGAAGCAGTTTCACGAGATATACGAGACTAACATCTGACATCTTCTGCTATGCAAATAAATACGGTTTAGTTCTATCCAGTAGTTATCTAGGAGAAGCTTTATTGCCTATGATGGGGAGTATCTTACATTATTGATTGAATGTGATTCTTATGGAAGGATTCATGGTGAGACACTTTATGGTCACGCCTAATGCATATAGAATTAGGAAATTACTTCCTTTGCAAAATTTTTATGTGTAGCTTTTATTTGAAGAAATTGTGCCAAGAATAGTCGTGAATAAGGGGAATTTCTCAAGTCATGGAGTCATTGACAACAACCGTACGATCAGTTATTGGATGTCACATATGAAGCGAGTGTAACAACACTGTTAAAGAAATCCTTCTTACGGTATCCAACCCCCGTATTATAAATATCCTTGGAGTTAAATAATATAGTTAAAAATTTCCCATGAGAATTGTGCGAGTCCATGCTAATCAATGATTAGGAAATGAATCCCTAAATTGAATTCTCATATGTAATGTGAACACCGCCTTATGAGAGAAGACTGACAGGTTAAAGACCCTAAAATTCAGGGGCTCTTATTATCTGTTTTGCTTAGTAGGTGAGATCATTGAATGTTTATGAGACATGGCGGCCTTGCAAAGGCAGAAGACTTAATGGACGAGTTTAATTATGAACTTTGCCTCGTTTTCATTGCTACTCACTCTTGACAAATAAAGAAAAAAGTACTTTAGCCAAGACTTATCCATACATGCTGGTTGGCATAGTTCAATTATATTCTTCACTCTTTATTGCCCAAAAATGTTGTTGGATTAAAAACTATACACAATAACAAATCATTCATCACTGCATAGTAATGAAACTACTAGTTTTTAGAGTTAAATGACACATCATTCATATAGTAATTGGAAACAGAAATTGACATATGATTTGGTTTTATGTGTCCCACGTATAGATGTTTAGTTTTTCTGACAGGCATATGTAAAATATTTTGTTCTCTCTTTTTATAAAATATATAAATGTCATGAAGGGGGTTGGCGACAATTATTTGAAGTGTGTTCACTTTGGTCCAAATTACTTAAAAGTGTTATAATAAACATAACTAATGTATTGCACCCTTGTTCTTTTTTAAACGACAATGATGGTAGCATTGGAAATTTCCTAGACACAACCCCATTATAAAAAAAATAAAATAAAAAATGGTACAACAAACTTTATAAACCATCAAAATATAAAGTGGGGACCACCAATACATTGCTGTAGTTTATTATACTCCACTCTTGGACTTGTGATGATACAAGATTGAAACATATTAGGTGATCAGTTTTTTTTTTTTTTTTTCGTCTTAGACCATCCAGATTGTCGTTACCTAAATCTAGGCCTCTGAATCTCAGAAAAAAAGGCAAAATCACAAGGAAAAGTTAATGGAAAGGCAAAAAAAAAAAATAAGGCCCTCTGAAATTTCCCTGCAGGTCCTACTTTCTGGGTTCCCTTGTTTCTCGGCAACAAGGGAAAGAAACAAATAAGTACTAAAAACTTTTGAAAAACTTCTTCCAAACCTCTATGTGTATCTTAGCTGTTCTCAACTCAACCACTCCTCAAACTCAATTCTGTTGCCTCACATGTGGTACTATTTTGCTTCATATCTTGTGCAGCTTCTTGGTGTACATTATATATGTTACATTGTCACTCTTTATTTTTGAGACTTGGGAATTTCAACCAACAAAAGGAGGAAAAAGTAACTAAATATGACAGACAAAGATTTGTTTTTTTTTCATTGATTAGCATCTATTTGTTGAGTCCTCATTTTTAATGATCTAAATCTTCTGTGTATGCATTGACTAAGAATCGGTGGGTTTAATCAGAATCTAAATCTTCTGTGTATGCATTGACTAAGAATCGGTGGGTTTAATCAGAATATGCACTTCTGGATTTGATGGATCTGTGTTTTAGGCCTGGGACTCCATATATTGGCTTTTGCAAGTTTTGATGTGCCCACTTGGTCCCCCTCTAATAAGCTTCTGCCATTGTTTATCCTTGATTATTCTAATAATTGTCCAAAATGAGGCACTTTCCTTTTTCCTCAATTAAAAAGCATTTTACGGATATAGGGTGGGTGGTGTGCCAAAATAATCTCAAAAAGATGGTGAAGCTGATTCGAACTTAAGATCTTATCGAAGAGAATGAGCAGTCTTATCAACCTATTAAATGACCGGTGGTATGATTTAGTCACTTGTCTCATATTTTGTGTGTGCGCGCGCTCGTGTTGTGGTGTTTTACTTGAAATCTCAAATTGGAGAATAAATGTTTCCCAAGGCGGTCTTAAGATGCTTTGCTTTTCAGTCCATAAATATGTCCACAGAAAAGCTGCAAATAATCCGTTTGAGTTTATGAGAGTAACACATGAATTAATGTTGGCAACCAACACAATTCATGCCAGAGAGACTCAAAATTCATGTAGGACACAAAACAATGGAGAACAGTGTCTGGAAGCTTAAAGATGGTTGGACTTGGGGCATTTAATTTGGCTTTTATGCTCTGCCCATTTTTAGATTCTTCTGAAGAAAAGACCAGAGATCAGTAGTGAATCCATTTGCTGGATACGTAAATAGTGAGACACGAGAATTGTGTAGGTAAAAACTTGTGCCATTACGTTTTTTTTATACCAATTTGGAGGATCTAAACTTGTAACCAAACAGTGGAGAAAATGTTCAAATTATGAAATCTAGTTCACTTCAGACTATAGTCTGTACTGTAGACTTGGATTTTATTTATGATTGAAACTCTTCCCTCTCTCTAAAACAAACACATTCACGCGTGGTTGAATGATGGATAGCAAATCATGACAAGAAAGAGCTCATGCCAAACTATATAACAAACTCGAGCAGGAAAGAAGTGGACCACAGGGAGAGAAACTCAGAAGGTAAAAGTTACTCTTACTTATTCACAGTCCATTTCAACGTTTCCCTTGTTCTCTACCTAGTAAAATTTTTACCAACTCCAATGTTGAAAATTTTTCCCTAGTGTGAAAATGCATCTAAGTAGCCTTGTAAAAAAGAAACAATGTCACTATTTGTGGAAGTAATCAATCACCAATTATCTCAATCTTTCGACAGGATATTTCTAGACCTCAATACACATTTTGTCCTTACTTGATTCTGGGACGTTGAAAGGCAGAAAGCAACAAGGGAAAAGGTCAGAAATAAATGTCTTTAATAGTTCATTTCTTCGGGAACCTTCTTTCTAAGTTTTTCACCTTCCAATTAATACAACCCTAATATTCACGTGAGCTAGTGGAGAAACATGGAGAAAAACCATAAAAAGGGTTCTTTATAAATCTGAACTTGCAGAGAGAATTGATAGCTCAAGTTTCCTTCTGACAGGAGATCAAAAGACCAAAAAAAAAAATGAAGATATGCAGAGAATAGTATTGTAGCACCTGCTATGGAATACAGGCACGCATGCACATGCATCAACGTGCAAACTAGTTATTTAAATTTTAAAGATGTTTGACTTTTAAGGAACACTAGATTGCAATTACTCAAAGTGCAATTTAATTTCTTTTTTACCATTCTCTGCCTAAGTATTATTGAATTTTGTTCTGATAGACTTTTCAAGTATCCAAATTGCGCATTGTCTTTAAGAAAATCAGATATTTTCTAGTCACATCGAATATTTTCAAGGACAGCTAGATTCAATGTCATGCCAAAAAAGGATAAATATTAACCATGCTGTGATGCAAATTATGGGTTAGTCTAATTATTCGCAAATAAGATGATTGCTTCAACGAAGCAAAGTAAACAAACATATTAGTATTTACACTATTAAGTTTCTTATTTAATATATGACATGGTCCACAGAGTGGAAATGTCTGGACCCCCGTGAGGCATGATCATCTTCTATGCAAAAAGCTTCACTCATGTATGTAATCAAGGAACAGATTTGTCGGTAATTCATTGGTTTTTACAGTCTTAGACCTTGTTGAAAGAGCTCCATAGTCAACTACCTTCCTGGTTGGTTTTATAGTTTATTATGATAAACCAGCTTATCAAACAGTACGTTGTCCATAATCCAGATCTTTGTTCAATCACTCAGACTCTCAGAGCAAACCAAAATGAGAAAGGGTACGCATATCAAAAGGTTATTAAAGAATTATGTTTCGGATCATGACCACTGCATACAAGAATAGTGTGACGAGCAGTTAAAAGGAAACGCTTCTGAATTGGTAGATGAACCCCACAATCAGATCTCTTCTAATTATTCTAAAATCCCGATCCTACTATCTCCCTACTTGAATCATGAAAAGTAGAACATTTTCCCATCCCGTCTGCTACATACTTCTTAGGATTGGTTACAAATTTTGATCAAAAAATATATATGGAGCAGAGCAGCAGAGTGTTTTTGCACATCAGAAACAGATAGTGCAATAATATTGCTAAAGAGAGATAGTATATAGTACCATAAGACAATAGGACAAAAGCCTAACGAGGGCTGCTAAGCACATCCACAGAAACACGGTTAATTGGAGGCAACCTCATCTGCTGATCCTGTGCTCTGCTCCTTTTAAATCGAGGCTCTGGTGTCCATGCCACGGACGATAATGATGATGAAGATGATGCGATAGCCCAAGAATCATTGGAGTTATCACAGCTGAAAGACGCGTCAATGACTCCATTTGGGCTGCCAGGTACGGATACATGCTTGCGCTTGCTGTGGCCATGCCTCTGAGAGTATCCATGGCCACCTGATGTTTCGAGCATGAGCTTATAGCACTCGTTCACTGTGTCCTGTAGCATCATCACAAGGTTTGACTTATTGGTCCACCAAGTATGGAAACACTTAAAAGGCAGCCATGGGATTAGATTATAAACCTCATTGATTTTAAGTACACTCAAAAGCTGGTCTTGGTACTCCACCGGATTATATGGCTCAATCTCATTGATAACATGCAGCATTGTTGCAGTAGCTAATACAGAAGGAAGATAACACACGAATTTTGAATCTGAAAAAATTTCAAACCCAATATCAAAAAAAAGGGTCATTATAAACAAACCGACCAAATACTATTTCTTGTAACAAAAAAGTGTCATCTTTAATACTAGCTTGGGCAATGAAAAACTATTAGGTGGTTTAGTTCCTTACCCGGAATTACAGAAAGAAGAAGGCGCTCACATCTCCAAAGAAACTCCCAATGCAAATGGGTCTTTAAACCAAGCCTCCTAACAATGTGACTAAAGAAGGAAATTGGGGTCACCGGATGCATCCTCCACTTGAGAGTCGACAGCACCAGAAGCTCCATTCTCTGAATAGTCTTTGCTTCAAACACAAATCTCGATTCCTCAACCTAACAACACAAATACCATCCATTAAGAAAACCAAAAACGAAACAAACAAACAAACAAATAACACGAAACGAATGCCATTGCGGCATTTTCACAAACAGGTGGAGTGCGAAACGGCATTACAGAAAAAAAAGACACATACTTGGAGGTCTAGAAGAAGAGGGACATGAGTCTCCTCCATTTTGGCGGCCAGTGAGAGACAAGCGACGGCGGCGAGTTGACTCATCCACGGCTTGTCCCTCTGGAACTGGAGGCTTGAGATGAATCTATCGAAGTAGTTCACCGCGAGAACAGTCGTCAGAGCAGAGAAGCCATAATGTGCATTGACGGTGAAAATCCAGTGGACGGCCTCCTTCCGAGCCGCAACTAGAGAGCCGTCGGAGCTCAGATCACCGCAATCGAAATCAAACCAGGGCCGCTCCTCTTTCGCGATTAGGTTTCCGAGCTCGTCGTCTTCCCAAAACAGGTCGTTCTCGAGCAGGACCAAAGCCTGGGGCTTCTTCGCAATCTCGTTCTCTTCGTTTTCCCCCAAATCCTCCCCCAATCCCTCTTCTTCGCAGAACAAAGCGTCGAGCACCATTGGAGGGTTTTGAAGCTCTTCGCCGTCGTCGAATAAAGCCATCTTCAGAGAAGAATGGGCTGAAAACAAAGAAGAAAATTTCTTTTTTATTATTATTATATATATTTTTTTGCTTAATATTACGCCATTAGAAGATCGAAGCTTTAGCTTGAACCGATATCCATATCTGCATCAGCTTCTCTCTCTAGAATCTGGAGAGGGAGGGAGAGAGAGAAGAAAGAGCCAAATGCAGGGAAGTAAACGAAGGGTTTTTATCTGAGGAGAAAGGCCTTTCACGCCTGCGCTTCTTTTTTTCGTTTGCTTTATTTTTATTTTTTTATTTTTTATGTTTTTTTAATAAAAAAAAATTGTTTGCTTTTTTATTTTGTTTTTTGTTTTTTGTTTTTTCCCTCCATGATTTTTTTATATTATTAATGTTTCCCTCCTATTAAAAAAATTGTTCCTTTCGTAACTTTTGGGAGTGTTTGGCGCGCAGGAAAGTGGAACATAACGGCACACTGACCGAGCTTTTGCAAGAAATAAGCTCCTATTCCTATATATGGTATCAGAAATAAAGAGGTTCTTTATCTCAATTAAATAAATGAAAAAATATATATAATAATTAATATGGATGCAAATCTGCATATCTGCACAAATATGGGGATGAATTTACTAGAGTTATTTTAAATTTTATACCTTCCATTTTAAGTTTATGTAAAAAAATTAAAAAAAAAAACTAACTCTATATTTAGGATGTTTTCAAGATTATACCTTTAAATTTGAACTTTGTATCAACTATGTACTTTTTTTGGGTCAGCAATTGATTACCCTTGCATTGACAAATTTAACATTTGCTGCTCGTAGATAATCTAAAGAATCAAGTGTAATGTCTAAAAAGACAGAAAAAATCATAGAAACTATATATTTTTAAGCTAAGTTGTAAAGGTTAATTTGTCAATTAGTGTTTGATTCCAAGTTTATCTAAAAAGATAAATCTAACAATCTTATGTCAAAATTAGTTATTGGCAGAAAAACAATACAAATTTGATGTAGATTTGAAACGCCAAGGTATAGTTTCGAGAACATTCAAAATACATGGTCATTTTTTGTAAAATACAAAGTGTAAAATCATAAATGACCCTTTTACTAGAATAATGATAGATAATGTTAATGCTATGAAAATTTTAGAATGATGAATATTCAAAATTTTAGTGTCAAATATAAAATTAACATTTACATTTGCAGCCTTAATGAATTATAAACCACCAGTATGATGGTTGATAGAATGATAATTATGTCATTATTATTACATTTTGTTACTCTTCAAATATTATTTTTTTTTTACTATTTTCAATATGGATAATAGCCAAATGCATTTTTAACGAAACAAATAAATAATTAAGAGCCAAATGCTAATCCAAAATCCACCTTCTTTTTTTTTCCAAATCCAAATCCATATGTTACTCATCTATCATCCATAATTTCTATATAATATATATATATAAATTTCTAAGTCGGATTAGTTTAGTAAATATAACTTTTTCCACATTACTGTATAACATCGTTTTTTTGTCCATAATACTCGGTTCGCTTAAGTGTAACGTTCAAAAAATACAATCCAACACATATAACATTGAGTACTATACTTAAAAAAACTAACACATATAAATGATGTTATATGAGAATAAAAAAAGAATTACATCCATCGGATTATATTATTGTAGACTTAAGATTTTACCTCTATATATATATATATATATAAGGTTCTAAAATACAATCCAACACATATAACATTGAGTACTATACTTAAAAAAACTAACACATATAAATGATGTTATATGAGAATAAAAAAAGAATTACATCCATCGGATTATATTATTGTGTAGACTTAAGATTTTACCTCTATATATATATATATAAGGTACTATTTTCTCCCTAAAAAAATTGCCAGCACTGTGTCTCTTAATACACTATTTTTCAAAAGGAAAAAAATACTTTATTTTGTCCAAATTTGAAGCATTTTTTCCTTTTGCTAATTAATCAAATAAAATACATTACTAAAATAATGAAGTCATGACCGTGTAGCAAACGGGGCTTATTTGTGAAAAAACTTATGTGCCAGTAACCGATACGATTACTCGAGGTATTAGATGGACAAGCGTACCAGCCACAAGTGAAAAACTCACCAAAATGCCAAAAGAGGTCAACCGGGTGACATTTTCAAATTGACATATAGCCACTTATTTAAAATATAAATAATCACTCCGGTGATTTATGCCTCTTTAAGTAGTGGGTTCACATGACTTCACAGAGATTTCTCTTCCCCCCCTTTATCCATGCTTAAAAGTACGTGTAAATACAAAACTTTATTGATAATTTGAGCTTTTTGAGGAGACCTGTTTCATTGAAAAAGAAAAAAAAAAATAGAACATGAAAATAAGAAAACGCATTAACTAAGGGCCCGTTTAATTCGCTGATTCGGATTTTTAATTTGAGTTGAGATATGATTTTATGTGAGAGCTTTTTACTGTAGCAAAAAAGTTAGATGTGATTGTTTGTGAGAGCTTTTTACTGTAGCAAAACTCGAATTCTAAACTCGAATCAGCGAAATAAGCAAATTGTAAGAAATTGATTTCATCGTTCGTTGGTTGATAGTTCGAATGCCCTTTTAATTATCAAAATTAAAGAAACATTGTAATAATTGATTAGTATTTATCTTTTTAATTTTTTCCTCCTAACTAACGTCTATATAGTGCCGATAGAATATATATAATGGACCTTTTATTTGTTTTCTCATACAATAATGTACTAGGAGTATTCAATTAAGTTAACTTTGATTAATGCCAAAAACATTTTTTTTAGTATTAATGTAATAAAAAGGTCGCTTCTTATAAGAATGTATGGATAAAAAAAAAAAAAAGAATGAATTTAGAAGGAGAATTTATTTATTTCCATTAGAAAAAAGAAAGAAAGAGAATTTATTGCTAATGGAACCACTGCACTTGCTATATATTTAATGAACTCGACACTCGTTTAAGAGCTTGTGGTTACTAAACACTGCATTGACTTAGGAAGGCAAAATACTATAAATGAGAATGTCTAACTAATTTACTCATTGCAGAATATATAGGTGTAATTGACAGTCTAACAATAAATGTCCCACAGCGTCATGGCAACAAAATCGAAGAAATGCATGGGGCTCAAAACAGCTGGGAATTTATTAAAGTGTTACATCCTCCATCTTCTTTTGTCTTATATATATATATATATATATTATATTTTCGTTAATTACTTGAACTAATATCCAAATTAATGTTGAATCGTGTTTGGTATAATTACCTATGTAAGTCGCATGGGTAATAAAGCAACATATTCACCAAATTAATAAAACAACAACATCAACATATCCGAAATTGGGTGATTGCAGACATAATCTATTAATAATTTTACACCTGACTCCACTATAAGATAAAGATTTTGAATTTGAATTTCCCACTCTCAAGTTTAAAAGAAAAAGAAAAGAAATAACATACGTAAAATTAGCAACATAACTACATTTTGGTTCATGGATTAGAACTACTTTCGTTTACGTGTGTTTTTTGTGAGAGAAAATACTGTAGCGAATCATGGTTCAGAGAACGAATCCTCCAACTAAACGGGCTTTCGATTTACGTGTATTTTTTATGAGAGAAAATATTTTAACGAACTATTAACCATGATTCGAATCAGAGAATGAATTCTCTAACCAAACGGGCTTTTAAGTGTTTGATGATGGTTTAATTGATCTAAATAATATTTAAATTTGAGTTGTTTTTATTAGGTGAAACCAAACAATGGGAAATTTTGAAAATTCATTTTGGATGAAAATGCAACCGAATTATGTGGACAAAACGAGACGGATCGTTCCACATCTCGATTCGATAGAGGTGGCATATGAAACGTGATCTCATAGATTTTTTTTGGACCAGCTAGAGATCAAAGAGGAAACAAAAGGGACAAGCCTCTAGAGAGATATGAGAGATATATAAAAGACCCTTATTGGAAAATGGAAAGGTCAGTTTGGGAGCCTCAACAGTTTTCGAAGAGCCTCTTATTAATTTTAATTTTCTCTTTAATCTTACTTTTAATGTTTTTCTTTTATCTCTCTCTCTGTCATAATTGTTGCCGTCTTGTCTACCAGAAACATACGCCGTACGCCTCCTTTGATGTCTCCCATTCCTCTGCATCCGCACCCTCCCAAAACCCAATACAAATATATACATATATATGTTATTTTTATTTCTATTTAATTTTTACTCAAAAATGGTTCAATACACGTGTATACGTATTGTGTTTAGTATGAAAATTTATATTATAATTTATGATTTGTTATAATATTTTTTTTAATAAAAAAATACACATAAATAAAAAATAATTTTAAATCTGTGAATTAAACGTCGACTCCCATTCAAAATAAACAAATAAACAAATAACATTTGAAGATATTAATATACACTACCTACAAAGTACCCAAACCGGACATCCATATGTCTATGCTTTTTCTCATTGAGTGTCTCATTCAAATTTATTAATGAAATCGATTGTTTATCGTCATCGTGATTTTTCATAGTTTGTGATTATACAAGTCAAGTGTCTATATAGGCTGTAGCTTCTCCTTGGGGCTTTACTACGTAGTCAATACTGGTTGGTTTCCCATCATAATAAAGTTGAGGATTATTTTCATAATCACCAATTATGTACCATAATTTAGAGTGTCTCTTAATTTTTAAAAATAATTCAAAACACCTAACTATATATAAAAAAATATATCAAAATTCTCCTTCCATCTACTTCTATTTATAAATCTAACAGAATTACCGACGTGGTATGTCATTTAACGTTTACTGAAGATATTAAGTTTTAATTAACTCTATTAAAATGATTAAGTATTAAAATAATAATAAAGAAGAAACAAAAAGATTGATATATTTCGAAAAAAAAATTAAAAAAACTATTGATCCCATGAAGGAGAACGAAAATTACATCAAAAGAAAAATTCACCAAAATCCAGATCATCTGTTCGACTATTCTTCCATAGTGGTTAAGACTTCCCACAATATGAATCTCTTTCTATTAAATCAGTTAGTCACAAACAGATTTATATACATATAAGCATTTGTCAGATTTTTTCTCCAATTGGATTTTTCAGATTTTGCTCGAGAGTGAGATGGCAGCGATTCGTCGAGGATGTTTGCAGGCTTGGCTTGGGAGGGATTTGAACCGGGGCTTGTGAGGGGCGAAAGGCGAT